AGCCTCGCGTCCCGCGGCAGGAACAAAGAGGGCCTCGAGTCGCAGCTCGACGAAAAATAAGTGCGCAGGCCATCGCAATTGCGGATGAAGGCGGGCGCGGGTCGCACGGTAAGGTCGTCGGGGGATCGCGGGGAGGGGATATTAGTTTTGTTTTTTTTTTGGAGGGAACACGCAAAGGATCATCCGAAACAGGACGAGGGGGAGGAGAGAGAGGAGGTGGACTAGAGGAGGAGGAGGAGGAGGAGGAGGAGGAGGAGGGCGGAGATGAGGAGGAGGAAGAGGAGAAGGAGAAGGAGGAGGAGGAGGAGGAGGAGGAGGGTGTAGGAGAATCACCTTCGAATGCCCAGGATGGCGAGGTCTCTGAGCACGAGAAGGAGCCAGCTACCCTTCTCCTCCTCCGCCTCGCTCCTCCCATTCGTGTTCGGTTCCTCCTCGCTCCTTCTCGCTCCTCCTCGGCTGCGAAGAAGAATCTGACACTGTGTCTCCTCCCCCTTATCATCAGCAGCATCATCATGTTCAGTACACTTAGCATGATTATCCTCACCATCGTCGGCATCATCATCACCACCGTCATCAAGAATAAACAGCATGTCATACAGACCCTTGATGGTTACCCACGGCATGGAACCAAACAGTGCGACGACAATTATGTGAAAGCTTTGGGTGTGAAGTTTCAGCGTGCTGGTCGCAGCGAGCAGGATGCCATGAATAAACCGTTTGTGAGTAAGTCATGCGTGGTCAGTGCCATTTATGCCGTGGAGTGTAGAATAAGGTTTCGGAAACAGCGTTTTGCATTTACCATGAGGACATGTCATGTTGGTCGTTACTTGCCTGTTGGGGTATGGATTCCTACCAACCGCAGCTTACCTCGATTGCGTTCGTCGCAAAACTAGTTGTCGAATAAACACATCAAGCTGTACCGGCTCTTGCCGAAGACAAATGAGAAGTACGCCCAGCGTCCGAACACGGATTTCCCGAATCCAAATGGATTTAAGGGCGTTCATGATGTAGATGTGGTTGCCGTTCAGCGTGCCTACAGGTACTCAGGTCACGTGGTGCGACAGAGGGGTTACAATCCAGATCGCCCGACTTCACGTGTCTGGGAGTGGGAGTGCCAACGTGTTGCATGCCAGAACGTACGCAAGTTGTCTGACAGACAGGGTTTTGCTAGGTGTAGCTCTTGGACAAGACAATTCACACGATATCTTGAATCATTGAACCGCGATTGGATGGAAACGGCTATGAGCAGACGCGATTGGAAGGTACATAAGAGAGTTTGGACGCAACATGTCTCGGGCAAGATGGCAGGAACCTGACCATCAGCATCATCATCATCAGCCTCATCATCATAGTCATCAGCATCATCAGCATAATTATCATCATCATCATCACCATCATCATCATCATTGCCCATCCTCTTCCTCTCCTCATGATTACCGTTGCTTCCTCCCTTCTCCTCGCTCCCCGCATCACCAGCCGTCTTGGCTCGTGTCGTTGGGGCTTCCGCTGTCTGCGCGGCTTTTCCGTCCTCCCACGAGAGCCACACACAGGAGCATTCGGGTCGGACGAACGGGGAGGAGGGGGAAAGGTTGGAGCTGGCTGGGGAGCTGGTTGGACCTGTCGTTGCCACAGATGGACGCGATCTGTTTCGACCCCGTGAGGGGTCTGAGGGGCCCAGTTTGAGTAAATTTGCCTCATCCCCCTTCCTCTTGACCGATAGTCTCTTCGCTCATCCAGCTCAAAACCGCCGCCTCCAAAGAGAAACGGGGTGGCGAAAATTGTGGCGTGCAGCTGGTTCTGGCGCCGCCGCCGGGCGCCTTCCTGTACACATTGTTCATTTCTAAGTATTCGAAAGTTCTTTGATGTTTTCTGGTGGGGGGCAAGATCCTTTCATTTCTACTTGTTCTATTCTGGGCCTCTTCCTGGCCACTAGGGGGCCAGGAATAAATAGAAACGAGCACACTTAGACATGAGCGCAATTAGAAATGAACGACGTGTATACTCGGCGGACCGCTCCCCGCCATCCCCCCCTTTCGTCCTCCCCGGTCCTCTTGACACCCGAGCGAGCGGCAGCCGGCGCCACCCATGAGCGATGGCCTGGCGTAGGGCATGCCGGGAGAGGGAAGGTTTTCGCCCCCACCGCCGCGCCTCGAGAGCAGCCCAGACATCCGACGCCCTGCTGTTTTCGCGACGTGGCCCCCCCGCAGGCCTCTAGGCCCCTTTCCCAGGAGCGGCGCGGCGTCCCGAGCCGTTGATCCTGTGCTGTCCCCGGGGCCCCGTGAGAACACTGGGCAGAGCCGTCCCCGCCGCGAGGTTCGTCACGTCGCGAGGGGGCCTGGGAGGTCCGACTTGGCGCCAGACCCCTGGCTCCTGTGGCCGGGAGGGCCCACACCAGGCGCACCACATAGCATTGCGCGCCAACGGGTGCCCCACGAGAACCTCCTACTCCCGATGGGCCTTACGTCGCCGCCCAGGACTAGCAAAAGTGGGTGCTCACCAC